TATAAAAATAAAAGCAGAGGTAACAACGTAGTTGTTTTGATGGGTTAATATATTCTTTAATATCATTGTCCCAGAACTGAGGGATATTTACCTCTCCTTCTGTGAGAGTATCAATAATTTATAAGCAAAACAAATACTTTTATATGCATCTACGATCGACCAACATGAAAAAAAAATTCTTGAGATCAAATGCAATTAATTTAACATGTCAGCTGATCATAACTACAAATAAAAGTTTTTTTACTTACAAACCATCCAAAATGATACTAACTTTATTCTAGTGAACATAGTGCATCTACTGTAAAATCTTGAGATTTTTAGAGCTCAAATTAGATGAGTAATTAGTGATTTTAGTTTAAACTTGTCCAATTTATTTTTTAAAAATCTTAGACTTTTACAGTAGATGCACTGCATTCTCTAGAATAAGGTTACTTAGTATCCATTTGATGATTCATAAGCAAAAAAAATACTTTTATATGCTGCTAAGATTGACTGACATGCTAAATTAATTGATTTGATCTCAAGAACCTTTTTTTATGTTGGTCGATTGTAGCAGCATATAAAAGTATTTTTTTTTGCTTATGAATCATCAAATGTGACACTAAGTAACTTATTTTAGAGAATGAAATACATCTACTGTAAAGTCTGAGATTTTTAAAACATAAATTTGATGTGAAATTAGTGATTTTATTTTCAAATCATTAATTACTCATTCAATTTATTTTTTTAAAAATCTCAGACTTTGCAGTAGATGCATTGAATTCTCTAGAATAAGGTTACTTAATATCATTTTCGATGATTTATAAAGCAAAGAAACACTTTTATATGTGGCAAAGATCAACTAATATTTTTTCATAATTTTATTATGTTTTTAGTTCTTATTTAAAGTCAAAATTCTAGTTCATAATCTTAAATACGGTAATAATTAAAAATATTCTAAATAATAAAATTTACATTTTTTATTAAGGGTTCCGATAGATTTCTAATGAGATAATTAAAATCATATAATAGATTTTTGTAAAATCGGCACTTTACCGAAAAATAGTCAATTTACAAACGCATATTTCACGTGTCTTTAATAAAACGGTTCGAAATTAAAGTGACAAATCATGTGCCAAGATTGATCAGCTATTTATAAAAAAAATTTCATTACACAAATTTTAAGTAAAAAATTGCTTACTGTTTAAGGGATAATGATAATCGATTATAATAATAAATATAATTATTATTGCTTATGATATTTGTATTATTACTTGTACGTATATTATTTATATTACTTGTAAAATAATTTATCAAATTTATTATCAAATTTATTAAAAGAAAAAGAATATTGTATAATATATCAATAGTAATTATTACAATCTGAAGATTATAATTATAATGGGATTGCACAATATTTTAATAAATGATTCAAATAATGTTTGGGTTTCTTGAAAAATAATAATAAGGTTCACCATATTTGTTTTTTTATTTATTTAGATCATATCAATAGAAATTTCTTTATATAGTTGAATTTTTAGATTGTACACATTATTTGTCTTGCATTTATACGTGGGATAAATTTATTATTTTTGGAGAGATCAGCGAAATAAATTACTTGTTTTATATACGGCGTAGTTCGTGGCATTGCCAATCGTTTTATTTTCTCAATATTTTAAAGAAAAAAATGAAAACGAATAATAATATTACTATCAATCGTAATTCTCAAGTTAATAGAATAGAATATGAATATTCTGAAGATATCCCATTTTATCATTATTCAAAATTTGAAAATGTAAAATTAATTAACAAAAATGTTTATAAAGCTCATATTAAAAAAATAAACGAAGTAGTAGCTCTTAAATGTATTTCCTTGAATGATCTTATAAATAAAGTAAGTTAGCTGCAACTAAATTATTTGTTATTTTTAGTATTTTTTTTTTTACTATTTATTTATTTAGGTTAAAAGACATCAAAAATTGGAAATTAATGATAGCATTCTTAAGTTTTATGGCGTTACTAATCAAGGTAAAATTAATAAATAATTTGCTTTTAATTTATTTCTTAATTAATTTTTATTTTTGATTAATTATTATTACAGAGACAGAGGATATCAGGAATTATATGATTGTTCTCGAATACGCAAACAATGGCTCTCTTCGTCAATTTTTGAATAAAAATTTCCAAAAATTCGATTGGAATATAAAATTAAATTTGGCAAAACAAATTGCAAATGCTTTAATGAATTTACATGATAATAATATTATTCATGGAAAATTGGTAGTTATTTGTTTAATTAATTTTTATGTATAAATTAATTTATTATTTTATAATTTAATATTTTTTCAACGTTCACATTAGACTTCCGAAAGTATTCTTGTTCATAATGGGACGATTAAACTAAATGATTTTGACATAAACCATTTAAAATCCCTCACTACTGTCGTCACAATCCCTGTTCAATATACTGATTATAGATATTTAGAATTATTTAATAAAAGTATAGATATTTACAGTTTAGGAATTATACTTTGGGAAATTTCTAATGATGGTATTTCTCCTTTCGAAGAGGAATTAATAACAAAATCATCTTTACTATCGCCAACAAATAATAATATTATTGATTTGATAAATGTGAAACTAAAAAAAGAAAAGACTATACCTGGAATTCCTCCTAAATACGAGGAAATTTATACTGGTACGAATTTATGTGTAATTTAAATTATTTATTAACAGTATTATTGACATTTACTGTAAATTGAATAAATTTGAATAGATTGTTTGAAACACCATGGAAATTCCCGACCAGACATCTTTGAAATTGTTAATGATCTTTCTGAAATCAATATTATTTCTGATATCAATGTTTCAAATAATGTAGAAAAGTCATTTAAAGAAGAAATTCCTTCAAATAATTCTATAACTAAAACTAATAATTATAATATCATATTTATTAAAAAATTATTTGAATTTTTTATTAATATTTTTAAAATTCAGTCCCTAGAAATTCGACCAATTGCGATCAAAAATTATGTCAGAGAACATAATTTGAATCCGGTTAAAATTTTACATAAAATGATAAGATATCCATCTCATTATTGGTTCACTAGCCTCATCGGATTTTTTTACCGGTATGGTATTGGGACTGTCATTGATAACCAAATGGCATTAAATTTTTTTAATTTAGCTGCTGATGAAAGAATTTATATGAAGAATGTCTGTTCAAATATTTCACTAAGTAGATTTTACAATATTAACAAAGAAATTGGAATCATCAATCTTGCGCATATGTACTTCTATGGTAAAGGCGTCGAAAAAGATTTGAAAAAAAGTTTTCAGATCTATTCTAAAGCTGTAGATGAAGGGTCCAATAAGGCTTTAACTTCCATGGCGTATCATTATTATGTTGAAAAAAATGAGAACAAGGCATTTGAATTATATTTTAAATCCGCTGAAAAAGGAAGTCAAGTTGCACAATACAATGTCGGTGTGTGTTATAGGAGTGGAATAGGAATAGCAAAAGATGAAGTTAAAGGGTTCCGATTGCATTTAAAATTAGCTCTTGCGGGAGATATAAAGGCAATAAATGATACTGGATATTGTTATGACTTTGGTATAGGTGTGGGAGTAAATAAAATAGAAGCATTTAAATGGTATTTTAAAGGTGCTAAAAAGGGTTATCCCATGGCACAACATAATTTAGGTCGTTTATATGCCAATGGTTATGGAATTAATCAGGATCAAGTGAAAGCATTTGAATGGTATAAAAAATCAGCTGAAAATGAATACATCAATAGCCAGTATATAGTTGGAAAGTACTTTTATGAAGGACGTGGAACCAGGAAAGATATTATAAAGGCTGTATACTGGTTAAATAAAGCAAATGAAAACGGGAATGTAAATTCCAATAGATTTTTAGGAGAAGTAATTAATCGAATAATCCTTTTATAGGTTATTATGATATTTAACATTATACTGTATCGATTTATATTAATAAAATATTTATCAAATACTATAAATTTGAAAAATTGAAATTCATTAAAGTATATAAGTATAGTAAATTTTAGTGTTTGACAATTACTTTGCTAAAATTTCAAGTTAGGTCGATGCAGTAACATCTATAGAACTTTTTTAATAATTGTTTTATCATCTTCGTGGCAAAAGCGTTAGACAATATCACTAAAAATTATTAATATGAAAAAGTGGATACCTCATCTAATAAAATTTAATTGTTAAAGATCATGTATCTTATATAATTATTCGATAGTAATAATTATTTCACTGTGAGCTGATCATTATGATACTTGTGGAATATCTGATTTATATCAAACCCTAATGTTCTATCACAGTTTATGTATAAACTATTAAACTTTCACAAAGTAAATGAAGATTTAAATTAAATTAATCAACAAATTGTTGGATTAGGTAAAAATTTAGATCCAAAGCCTTAAATTACCAACAGATAAGATTTTTAACATCAAAAAAATTAATTGAAATGTTCCAGAAAATCTTTTATATCATATTATGCTATGCGTGCTTATAGAAAATTAACAAAAACAAAAGACTCTTTATTTAGTTAGTTAGCATTGTAGTATGGATGAATGATGAAATAGAATATCGTGCTCCTTTACATAATTGCAAACAAGGAAAGTACCATTTTTTTAATTCTCATTTAATTTTCATACCATGATCCTTCGTCTCTTTTAATCATCATTGCCATCACATCATCATCGCCATCATCGATACTATCGATATTATCATTATTATTACATAATCGATATCATTATCAGCACGTAAACTTAAAATATTAATGATTTTGTTACTACTGCATTGCTTTCAATGGATAAATATTTTCATCCGGTAATTAAGTATGATCAAAGTGCCAAATAAATTTGTTATTTGGTATTTGGTAGTTATGATATTTTATTTTTTTATACGACAATGAAATTACATTTTTTATAAATTATTCGGCACAACAAGTAAGTATAATCAAGTTTAAATAAACAGAAAAATTACTATAATTAATTAATAATAACTTTTTCAGCATTGATATAATAATTCTTTATAGTTGTGGTACTTTTATATTGTTGAATTTGCGTTTCAGGTTTATATGCATATACATTGGAATGTAATGGAAGATTTCTTGTAGAATCTATAAGAGGTTGACGGAAAGGCTTGGTTACTGAAGGTATTTTCTTTGATGATTGCGACGTCGACTTAGAAAGAGACTAATAGAACGCATATTGGATTAAAATATATAAAGAAATTTTTAGAATAAAATAAATAACTTACTTAATCATTTTTCAAAGGCGATGTTCCAACACTATCAATTAGTAAAGAAATGCTTCTTCTTTTTGGACGGGCATAAATTTTCATGAGAATTCACTTTTATGTCCGTAATTGGCAAAGTTGTAAAAAAGTCTGTAATAGGTGTTGAGCAAACTGAATAATTCACAATATCACGATCACCTAATTCAATTTCAACTGTAACACAAATGGTTTTCATAAATATTCCGCATGTTTTTTCTCCTAATCTTATGCCACCTTGATCATTTTTTTGTAAATTGAAGACTTCCATCTGTCATAAAAGTAAACTGTGATGTTGTTAATCTATATTAATTACTGGATAAATCCGTTATTGCGCGCTTCGCACCAATAACTTCCATATCTGGCTGTAAAATTTAATATGTTGAATTCTGGTCCCTTTGGGCCCAGAAACCAACACGTCTCTGTATTCGTCATTTGATTGAATAGTAAATCAGCTGATTACTATTAATCAGTATCATTAAGCCAAATACAGCCATTACGGGATGCTTAGCACCCACTAATTATTTAGAATCCATCAATCCAATCAGAATACAAACAACCTTTGGCAATTTTGATTTTTCTGAATCTATCAAAAGGAATCCATTTCATCACTTTCGTTCAACGTTCTACATTTATTTGAGAAATCATGATTAAATTTATTATTCGGAATGAATTTTGAAATTGCTTTTCGCGCTATCCTTTAGCATGATATTATATTCTACACCGGCCTGCCAAAAGTATCTGGACAGCTGTTTTTTCAAATTTTTTAAAAAATTTCAAGGGTGAATTCTGTCACAACAAATGATTTAAATTGTACAAACTTTTTTTAAAAGAATTTCCATATCAAGGGCTATCGTATGATATCTTATTTATTTAAATTTGAAGCAAATATTCTTTAAGCAATTCTATATGTCTATCAGAATTAAGGTTGCCCTTGACTAAAACTAGTGGACCCAACTTATTATTACAAAAACATTCCTACACCATAACTCCTACTGAATTTTTAACTGTGGATTTTAAACAATCACTTTTATATTATTCATCTTTTTTGTGCCATATCCAATTTCTAGAATCATTATTAAACAGTTAATATCTTGATTCATCACTCTATATAATTTTCTCTCATTCATTATCCCATTTTTTTTTATATGATACTAACCAAATCATTTTTTTTATTTTTCTCTGAAATAAAAGTCTTTTTTTTTGCTATATGTCCACTATAACCTTCTTGGTGCAAGATTCTTTGAACTGTACTACTTCAAACTGAAATGTTTAATTCAGTATTAAAACTTTCAGTTATTTCTTCCAATGTTTTACTTCTATTATTTTTAACAATTCTTACTAATTGTCTATTATCATGATCAGTTAATATTTTTGGTCTACCTGATCATGGAATTGTAGAAGTCAAACCCTGCTCATTATATTTTTTTACAATATCTCTTATTGTTGACTTGGGATGACCTGATAATTCTTTAATTTATTGTATGAATATTTTCCTTTATGTAAATCAATAATTTCTCCACATTCAAAATCAGTAAGTTCTCTTCTTTTAGGCATGATTTTATAATATTTTAAAATTTATAATCAAAATAATTTATGAAAATTTAATTTATAAAATTTTTATTATTTTATTAAAATTAAAAATTGAATATTTTTATAATTATGCAAAATAAAAGAATCAACAGTATATGCAGTTTCTTTGCACAGTTTCTTTGTTCCTTTTTTTTGCACTTTCAAATTTAGAAATAATTATTTTATACCTTTCTATAGTAAATTTTAGGATAATCTGGGAGAGAATTTTAAACATATATGGTAATATAAACATTTTTTTTTTGTGCTTAAGTTTTAATTTTTACTAAACAATATTAAAAATGGTTTTAATAAAAATTTTAGCTCTCGTTATTAGCTACAAATTGTTATAAGTTTATTTGTATCTACAATAAATATTTATCAAAATTAAGAGATTTTACAATCAATAATTTGATTTGACTTTTTTATTTAAAACAAAATTTCTATAAAAAAAAATTTATGTAATTTGGATCATTCATTGTTCTACAATTAGCATTTAAAATAGATTATTGTCAATCATTTTACTAATTGAAGAAAATTATCAATCATTGTTACATAGCCTAGACATTAGTGGGACTGTGGCAGTGGAAACCTACTAATTTTAAAAGTAGACATTAGTTTATTTTCAATGGCGGTAGGTTAATTGGTAGATCTAGTCTCAGATAGTTTTATTTCTTCATTTGTAATTTTGTGTACAATCTAAATGAAATAAATTGTTGTTGCATATAAGACATTATTTTATACCAATAAAATCTCAAAAGAAATGCTAAATAAACTTGAAGATAATATTATTTTACATCTACTGTAAAGGTTTGAAATTCACATATTGAGAATTAAAGGAATTATTAGCATTTATTTATTAAAGTTTAATTGTCAATTATTTCTTCTATTCGCATGACATATGCTTGAAACTTTTATTGTAAATGCGCAATAATATTCTCGTCAGAATTACTTAGTATCACTTATAAGACTTCATTGGTATAAAATAATGTTTTATATGCAACGACGATTGATAATTTTATTTATGATCAACAATAATTTCGATCGTTTTTCAGTTGTGTCTAAGTAATGTTCTGATTTTAACTAGAAAACATAAAATATGGTATTAATTAAAGTCGTAGATTTAGTATAGAGCTATAACTTCGTATAAGATAGTAAGCACTTCCGGTGGATAATTACTGAAATCGAAAGAGATTACTATTAATAATTTAGTTTAATATTTTTGGTTAATTTTATTTAAGACAAGATTTTAAAACGAGCAGGCATCCAATTTGAATAAATAAGATATCATACGATAGCCCTTGATCTGGGATTCTAGTTTGTACAGTTTAAATTATTCGTTGTGCCAGAATTCACCCTTGAAATTTTTTAAAAAGTTGAAAAAAACAGCTGTCTGGATACTTTTGGCCGGTGTATATATTAGTCGAACTATCTTGAAGATTTATTGATGATAATTGAAAAGATATTGTGATTCAACTTCTTCCGCATTAGATTCATTATCCCCACCTCATTAACATTTCGGACGTATCATGATCATTTTGGTTTTTCTCGAATTTCTTGATTTAATAGTTCACCTGAAGAATGATCAAGTCGAGGTTGAATAAATATTGAAGTTTCACATTCCCTTCAACCCGTACTCATCTTTATCATCAACTGTCAATTCTTTCATAAAGTTGTTGTAGTCGTATTTGATGCAACATCTTCACTCATCATATCTTCCCTACTTTCACTTTGTGTATCATCATCATCATCATCATCATTAACACAATATTTTAATAGATGATTCAAATAATGTTTGTTTTGAGTTTCTTGAAAAGTAAAGGTTTCTTTGAATATCATCATATTTGTTTTTATTCAATAAAAATTTCTTTATATAGTTGAATTTTTAGATGTTACACATTATTTGTCAAACAATTTAAGTGGAGCGATCAGCGAATAAATTACTTGTTTTAATTCTTTATCTTTACTCGTTTTATTTATTTTCTCAATATTTAAATGTCTCTTAAATGTCTCAAAGAAAAAAAAGAAAAACAAATAATGATATTACTATTAATAAGAATTTTAGAATAGAATGTGATGATGATATCCCATTTTATCCTTATTCGAAATTTGAAAATGTAAAATTAATTAATAACAAAGTTTATAAAGCTCATATTAAAAAAATAGTTTCTCAGCAAGAAAAAACCGTAGTCGAAATAGTAGCTCTTAAATGCATTTCTTTGAATGATTTGATAAAAGAAGTGAGTTTACTGTTAAAAACTACAAATAAATTATTCGTTATTTTTAGTATTTTTTTTTTAAAATATTTATTTTATTCAGGTTAAAAGACATCGAAATTTGGAAATTAATGATAGCATTCTTAAGTTTTATGGCATTACTAAACAAGGTAAATTAATATAAAATAATTAACTTTTATACAATTTTTATAATTTATTTTAATTAATTATAATTTATTTATTAATTTATTTATTAATACAGAGAATATCAAAAATTATATGATTGTTCTCGAATATGCTAATAATGGTTCTCTTCGTCAATATTTGAAAACGAATTTCCAAAAATTCGATTGGAATTTAAAATTAAATTTGGCAAAACAAATTGCAAATGCTTTAATGAACTTACATGATAATAATATTATTCATGGAAAATTGGTAATTATTTTTTATTTAAATTTTATGAATAAATTAATTTCGGGTTTAATTATTTATGATTTAAATTATTTATAATTATTTTAATGTTTTTTTTTTGACGTTTAAATTAGACTTCCGAAAGTATTCTTGTTCATAATGGGACTATTAAACTAAATTATTTTGGCATAAACTATTTAAAATTTCTTACTACCGAGTTTACCATCCCAATTCAATATACTGATTTTCGATATTTAGAATTATTTAATAAAAGTATAGATATTTACAGTTTAGGAATTATACTTTGGGAAATTTCTAACGACGGTATTTCTCCTTTTGAAGATGAATTTACAACAAAGTCGTTATTTTCATCGCCAACAAATAATAATATTATTGATTTGATAAATGATACTATTGAAAAACTAAAAAGGGAAAAGAGTATATCTGGAATTCCTCCTAAATACAAGAAAATCTATACTGGTATGAATTTACATACTATTTGAATTATTTATCAACAGTATTATTAACTGTAAATGTAAATTTGAATATTTGAATAGATTGTTTGAAACACCATGGAAATTCCCGACCAGACATCTTTGAAGTTATTAATGATCTTTCTGAAATCAATATTATTTCTGATATCAATGCAAAAAAATAATTTAGATAATTCAAATGAAGAAATTCAATTTAAACATCCTTCCATTGATTCCATAACAACGAAAGCTATTAATTATAATATCATATTTATTAAAAAATTATTTGAATTTTTTATTAATATTTTTAAAATTCAGTCCCTAGAAATGCAACCAATTACGATTAAAAATTATGTCAGAGAACATAATTTGAATCCGGTTAAAATTTTACATGAAATGATTAGATATCCATCTCATTATTGGTTCACTAGCCTCATAGGATTTTTTTACCAGTATGGTATCGGGACTATTATTGATAACCAAATGGCATTTAGATTTTTTAATTTAGCTGCTGATGAAAGAATTTATATGAAGAATATCTCCTCAAATCTCTCACTAAGGAAATTTTATGATATTAACAAAGAAATTGGAATAATCTATCTTGCACATATGTACTTATATGATAGAGGCGTTGAAAAAGATTTAAAAAAAAGTTTTCAGATCTATTCCAAAGCTGCGGATGAAGGGTCAAATATAGCTTTAACGTCTATGGCGTATTGTTATTTTATGGGGTTTGGTGTTGAAAAGAATGAAGAAAAAGCATTTTAATTATATTTAAAATCCTCTGAAAAAGGAAGTCATGTTGCACAATATAATGTTAGTGTGTGT